GCATGTAGGTTAAGAGTTTTGACAGGGTTAATATGACAAAGTAATTTAGTAGTCAAATTTGTAGGAATAAAGATGGTGTATTTGTTAGCGATTGTATTAGAATTAAGATTGTATCCTAGGCATATAGTAGTAGTAGAGAGAGGAGTAAGATAAAGATTAGTAAACTGAGACTGAAATGAACAGTGTCAGTGAGTGATGAGAGTAAGATCTGTAGGGCTATTATGCCTTTTGGTCTTGCTAACAATGATTTGATTATTAAGAACAGTAAGTAACTAAGATTTGGTATTGGAATTAAAGTGGTCAGTAGTATAGGAAAAATAGTTTGATTGAAGTAGGTTAAAATGATCATATAATATATGATAGTAGGAATGACTAGTAGTAATATTCTCAAGAATAGTAAACCATTGAGGTATAACACCTTTAGGGAGTTTATTTAGTCTGGAAGAAATATGATGCCAATGTAATAAATATAAATTGTCATAGCTAGTAAGTTGGTCGAGAAAGAGAAGTTTGTAGTATCTAAGTTGTTTTTTGAAGATAAGTTATTTAGGATAAGAGGAGAGAAGAAATTCTAAAGAGGTAGTTCCATCGTGTAAAGTGTAAGGAATGTTATAAATTGGATTAATTGAGAATGTCTAACCAATATGTTTAATAAACTGTACAATTTTAAAGTTTGTGGTTAATAGTTAGAACTATCAATAATTAGGTTGAGATGAGAGAAAATACTGATTAGAGACCAGAGGTTGTTTTGTAATTGTTGAATTCGAATACGAGTAGATGTGCCTAATAGATCAGGATTATTAAGTCGTTTAAGAAGATTAGGAATATGGTGTTGTAATTGAATGTCTCAAATATATTTGATATTATAAATTTGTAGATGTAAGAGAGTACTAGAGGGTATTGTACGACAAAGTTTGGCTTTAAGTTTGACAAGGCCAATATGTTGAGTAAAAATTTTGTTATAAATTGATTGATTGATTACAATATTTTAAAGTCAGTATTCAAGAGTAGGAATAATCACTGTGTTGATAATATAGTGAGCATGTGAGTCAGTGATACGTTTGGTTTTAGTGATTTGGATTAATTTAGAAGATTCAGAGATAAGTAATTTTGTTTGTTTAGATTGTTTGTTGTTCAAAGTAAACCAATAACATAAAAATTTGAAAGGTATTTTAGAAGAGTATAGAGGAAGAAAGTGGTTATTATAAAAGATAGGTGTATAATAAGGTGGAGGATTGTTGGTGACCAGAATGGATTTTGAAGAGTTAACTTGAATATTGATCATAGCATAGAAAGATTTAACTATAGATAATATGTGTGATAATTCAGATTGTGATGAAGCAATCTAAAGAGTATCATCCATATAAGCTAAAACAAAGCATTTTTTTTGTAATGAGTTAGATGTTTGAAGTTTGAGGTTAGTGGTCCAAGAGGATTGTAGTTTGTAACCAGGAATGTTTGAATATATGTAGGAAATAAGTGGATCATAGTAGATACACCTAAAACCACATTACCTAAAATGTTAATAAAGTTAAAAAATTTAAAAAATTATCTTAAAAAAATAAAAATTAAAAAAAATAAAATTTGTAAATATTTAGTAAATAGCTATAATAAATATTCAACTCTATAGATCAGAATAATACTACAGATAATTCTTATTAATGTCAACTTTGTTAATATTAACCTAAGTTACAATCCAAATTTTTATAAATTTTTATATATCAAAATCACCTTATATATATCAACTTTAATATAATTTTTTATTAATATTACTATCAACATGATTTAAAATTAGTTGATATAAATGAAGGTACTTTTTTTGTAACTATATATATATTTTTTATATTCTAGAATTAATATTGGTTATAACACATTCTTTGATTTATTTTTTAAGTTAAAATTAAGACATATTTCGGTATATCATATATTAAATAATAAATTTTAATTTTATTATTTTTAAGTATAATATTTAAAAGAACTATTAAAATTTTTCAATAAAAAAAACAACCGTTGAAAAACGGAACAATTTCAAATTAAAAAAAATTGGGTTTGTTAATGTTAATTAAATACACTAACTCTAATACATAAGTAAAAAAGGTAAAATGCCTAATGTTACTGTTACCCGATTTGGGCGAATGCTTTTAAACCCCATAACATACCACTAAAAAAATCAAAGTTATCACCTGTATGTATTTCTTTTTTATATTAAACGAGTTTTTACGGCCTAACGCTAATAGTATATATTTAACGAAGTTTGTTAAAATAATGGAAGTAAAGAGCTCCTTTGTATATAAATAGGAATAATAAATCACTTTTATAAAAAAACAACTTTGATGACAAATCTATTCTAAAAAAAACTATTTAAAATTGGTATATTGTCACAAGTCAAATCCATAACAAAATTTAAAGAAAAAGATATTATAATACGTATAGAGATTTGTACAAATGAAGCAAATCGGAAAATACTTAACAAACTGACAAAATGTTTTTCTAAACATATGATTGTTAGTACCATGAAAGCAAATAGGTTAAATAGTAAAGATATTGTTTTCAAAAATTCCAGGCATACAAATCTTTAGATAGAAATTTATGATGAATAATCAATAATCTATAACGATAATTAAAATTATACAATGAAACTTTTGACTTGGTTTGTTCTACACAAATGGGATGTTACTCAAGTCGATTCGGTAGATTCAGAATTAATTCAAGTATATTACCTAATATGGATGAAATCAGCCTTCAAGTAAATTTCTATTGTTTTGCATGAACAAAATTCACTTGTGGTTGGAAACAAATTTGCATTAATACAAGGCTTAGCATTTATGTAATATATGCGTAAGGCAGATGTATATCAAAAGAATCGAGATTGGAGAAATGGATTGTTCTGCAATTTTAAAGACAGAAAAAAGGTTTACAGTCTAGTCGTACTTGCATACCTACCTTATATGATACGTGAACAAAACAAATCCAGTTATCAAGTAGCAAGTTAATATAAAAATTATTATGTTTCAATTAATTGAAAAGAAATACAAAGAAAATCATTAAGGGACTGTTTCGTACCAAATGAGCTATGTATAAAATTTATGCCTTTAGTCTACTGAAATTCCAGGAATCCAGGTATGGAGGAGTTTCTGTTTTGATACACTACGTGCACTGCGGGGTAATTCGGCTAGTTTAGAATGGATCTACTTATTTTTTTCGTATTAGGTCATATGAAACAATGATACCCGAAACCAAAGCATTTATTTCGGCCATTGTGTTTAATAATGTGATCTACGAGCATTTAAATTTTTTTTTTTGTGACACGAACATGTGGTTACTATTAAAAGATATAAAAGACGACGAAGTATGTACTTTCCAATAAAAATGATTTTTATGGATTGACATAGAGTTTCGGCAAATTGACAAATCACAACGGTAACAGTAAGAGATATCTCCAGAATAGGGTATTATACTCCATTTGTAATTCATGTGCATCAACAAGACTTGAATGCAAGATTTTTTTGACAGTAATACTGTAACGGTAATATATAGTAACATCATACGTAATAATATTAATATGACCATAACGATAACGGTGAATTTTAATATCAACCATTATAAAACTAAAAAAATGCACTTAACACAATTTTCGAATGAAAACTCTATTTTCAAACACAGGGCGTATCGGTATAGAAAATTATAAACACAAACAAATAAAGCATCATGTTATTATCTAGGATATTAAATTACCTATTATAGTTTGATGACACCACGTTCAAGTGCTTCCTGAATGAAAGAATCAAATATATATATATACACATATATATACATATATTGATATATTTTTAATTAATATATATATATAATATTAGTAAATATATATGTATAAGTATTTTTATTTTTTATTTTTATATTTATTTATATTTACGTAGCTCTGTCTATATTTAAATTTACCCTCATTGTTATTGTCGTGGAATCCATTCAGTTGTGTAAATGCTAGTAGTCAAAAACAATCAGGGTACGATTTGAATTGAGTATAAATGGCGTTTTTTAATTTTTTTTTTTATATTTTCTCCTGGGCATTTTTCTTTCTAATTTACCCTCCAAATAATTGTTCACATAAGACCTGTCCACATATATATATATAATAATACATACATACATATACTCATACATACATATTTACATAAATACATATCGAACCGTAGCCTACAAGACAGGTTTGATTCTTTGGTATCCGCATCTAATCCGCATCAGTTTATCAACGAGTTAAAATTAGACATATATAATATAATTAATTAATCGGGGGTACTTTTGTTCAAAAAAAAAACTGAAAGTTATAAACGTGTCTCAATATTCAATACATTTATATAATTTATTTTTTTATATATTTATATATTCCTTTCTTGTATAAATCAAAGTTTAAGAGCTATTTTCGTTTTCTAAAGCTCTTGTTGTATATATATATATCTGATACATTTTTTATCTTTTGATATTAACGTACATACGTACGTAATTTAAATTGGTGGTTTATTAATTGTATCCGTAACCGTATGGACTCCAAAAATTTTCCTAATTGCGAGTATGTATCAAAAAATTTTCTTGTTCGCTGAATTCTTTAATTGTTCTCATCATCATCTTTATCATTCATGATCTCAGGTGGACGATTAATGTTACGGGCTGTGTTGGTCAATCTTTCTTTCAAGTAGTATATGGAGTGACGATATACTTATCGTTATTCGTCTTTTTAAGTGCCATTTGGTTATTATTATGGCGTTTATGCAGCAAACCAAATATAAAATTGTTCAGATTAAATTGCTTTTTCGCTCTAGAAGGTTTCCTATTTACTCAAATTCTTTGGAGCGGTGGTATGTAAAGTTTTTCTTTATCAGACATTTCATGACATTAAGTAATAAAAAAAAAATTTTAATTCACTAATTCATTCGTTATAACTTTTATGTATAGCCAAAGTGGTTTATTCCTTAATATTAATCTATAACATACTACCCGAGAACATGATAGTTCGCGAAGTATTCTTTGATCTGACCTGGTTGTTTGGATCAATCTCTGTGGCAACTTATCTAGCAAGTGTCCTTCGAACAATTCCACGTATGCATTTCTACCGGCAAAACCCACACTATAAACATTCACTACACTTACCAACCCTTCGAGGCGTAGTCTCTGTCTACACCTCATATATAATACTTGTCAGCGCCATCGTAATCACGTGCGCTCTTTTTACCGGATATTTGCGACAACAACAAGATATAACCTCTGATCAACAAAACATAATTAATGCTTTGACAGTAATTCATTTCACAACTTATTCTATAAGTTGTTTTATAATAGTCGCTGGGTTTGTAATTTATGGAAAAAAGCTGGTGAATATTGCAAATGAAGGATTACGTCTACTGGAAGGTGTAAACGGTTATCCAACTACACCAAGATCTCCAAAACCTTATAGATTTTCTCTTGCTACACGACGAGGTAGCAGTTATAGTCATTTGGAATTGAGACATGATCAGATGAAGCGAGCTCTTTTAAAGGTTTGTTTTTTTTAAGTTCTCAAATATATATTTTTAATATATATTTTTCATCATAAATTTATCATCTTTTAAATTCATTAAAAATTTTTTTTTTTTATATAAAATAGATGCGCATTGTAAACGCTGCTTTTACTTTAAGTTTCATAATATTGGGCCTAATAATAGGTGTTTTTGCATTTTATCATCAAGCGATATTTGAAGACTTGATTGTTAGCAAAATAATTTCAATATTAGATAATTGGATGCCAATGTTATTAAATGTTAGTGTCATGGCTGGTATTGCTTATGGGTACGTATTAATTAAATATTTTTGACTAGTTTTGATTAGGAGATTATAACCTAACCTTTTTTTTTCTTGTCATTTTTTGAAGTGAAATGAAAATTCCAGATAGAACCGATCCGACGTTTTCAAATTTGGTACTCACAGAAACTTCACAACAAGGCAATGCAAATGTTACAAATACTGAAAATGGTCATTCTACAGAATCTATTGAAACTACTTCGATCATTACTTCTCATAGTAGGACTTCATTTCATCAAAGAAATGAATCTACAGGTTCAGATACTCCGTTAATATGTAATCCATCACTTTCAAGTATAAATGCATCACCATCTGAATCGAACAGTCAATATGGAGGTAAATCGTCAAAAAGTCCGACGTCGATAAAATGGCCAACTATCATTTCACCAATACATATGTCATCAAAACAATCAATACAGTATGGAAAGAGGAATAGTATTAAAGATTTAAGTAGGGATTCTTCGGCTGGTGTAAATCCAGAGACGAATAATACGTCATATATAAATATAGGCCTTTTACCTACTCAACCGATTAGTTTGAAGTTTCCTAGTACAAATGAAGAAATTGTAAACATGAGTGAAGATATTATAAGCATGAGTGAAGAAATTGTAGATGAAGAAAGTACCGATGATTTTGTAATAGAATCCTCTGAAATTAAATGACGATATATTGTATATATGTGATATTACAAGATTGATACTTTTCTTGATGCTTGAACTTTTTATATCATTTTACCTTTATGAGGGAAACAATGTTTTTTTTTTATTTATATCTCTCAGAGATTTATATTTCCTAGAGGTAGCTGTAAATCTTCTTCGGTGTCTTTAATATGATACCGTTATATCCTAACCACCACCATTCGTTTGTTCTATTTTTAATTAGCATTCACAAAATTAGTCAGGTCAGCGTTTTGAGAACGCGTTTTTTCCTTGAACCATTAGTTTTAATTGTTTTAATTTGGAATTTTTTTTGAGATAAAAAAGTCTCAATTTGCATTCTCATCATTTTTTTTTAAAAAAAAACCACCATAAATTTGAATATAGTGTGGTTTTTTTTTTAATGTAATTCAACCACACTATTATATTTATTTAATTAAGAATGTATAGTAAATATATTCGAAAAAATCACTATCACAATTCGAGAAAAATCAGAAACTTTAGTAAAAAGTAAGGTTTTTTGATTTTAACAAATAAGCATTAATACAATATAACGATAAAAATTCTGGAAATTTTTTTTGAACCAATAAAAGAAAGTTATGAAAGGTGATTTGCCCCACCTAATAAAAAAGAATATGTCTTAAAAAAAAAGTTTTCTAAGTTGAAATAACTTGTATTCGATCTATAATTTAATTTAAATACACTCTTTTAGTTTGTCATAAAGACCTTTAATTTGATTTGATAAAAAATTTTTACATATGCATTTATCGTTATGATTATTGTTATGACCAACAATAATTTTAAGTCCTCGCGTTAACCCCTTGAACATATCCCTTCATAACAATAATTTTACAAATTAATTATACGCATCATCCCCTACACTGTCTTTTATCTGCAAGTTATTATGCTGTATGATGAATTATTATATTGTTACAAAACCAAAAATACTTACTTTTTTTTTGTTGAAATTTCTTTCAAGTCACGAGTTGTGTCGCGTAACACTTTAGGGCGAAAGCTATGGACACAAAACTCACGTGATAGATCCAGCCAGTGTTGTGCATATAAGCCCCCTAACCTTAACTCTAACACTAATTCTGGTCACATAAGTGTCTGGAATGCAGAAATGTTGTGTCCGTAGCTTTTCCTCACTTTACTGACAATCTCTTTACCTACAATTAACAAAGTTTGTTCTACGTATAGGTAATTATTTTATCGACATATTTAATTCATAGATAAAACTTATTAACAAGCTTATTTTATAATAATTGAATTATTAACAAAAATAAAGAATTGAATGTCGGTATATAAAGGCCTGGTTTTGAATTGATTATAAGTAAACTAGGATGTTGATAAGGCATTATTAATAAAAGTAACACAGGCCCACGGCATGCATTTCACTCAAAGTTTTGTTAAACGGTAACAATAATTATTATGATGTAATCACTTTAAAAATTATTCAGGATTTCCATTATATGAAAATTATATTTTTGAATATCAATTTCTTTGCATTTTCTTGTATAATATTTATGTCAATGTCGTGCTTTTGAAGTTTGCATCTGTCTAAAGTTGTAATTTTTAAGCAAGTATAAACTTCGAACACGACATTATAATCAAAATTTATGCTTTATAATTGATTAATTTATTGTGACACATTAGTCTTAATATTTTTTTTATTTTATTTTTATTAAAAATTTTTGTATAACCTACAAATAAAAAATAAATATTTTGTATGTATTTCAAGCTTTTTTTTTTTTAACAATTACGTAAATCTGCACCTATTTTTATTATATCTTGTACGTACATATTAGGCAATATAAAAAGAAATTTGACTACGTACGTAAAAGAGTTTTGAGCCACATGATTCTTATAGCTTGCTAGCTAATGGTAATTCGGGATCATGTGTAATTGGTACGCCCATACGTATCAGTTTATTGATTTACTACATTTACCACGAGATAGAATAAATTTTGAATACGTAGTAAAAATGATTATCAAGTTTACAAAAAATGCTTAGAAAGATTTTTTTTGTCATAATGGTCAATCTTATCAGTTATAGTGAGTGTACAAAAAAAAAACTTGAATAGCTCGATTTCACCAGGCCAGCATGTTGTCACGATCACATAATAGAAAAAGTAACAAATTTATTATTATTCGCGAGGAAAAGATAATGTGACAAGCAAAATAGTGTATCTTCATCTTTTTGGGGTTCTAATTATAGAATATTCGTCAGAAGAATTCTCATTTGTCTTGTGCAGAAGAGGTTGAATTAGACTTCATTGAGAGAATACGGTTTATTTCGTGAAGATAATATATACATTAAACTTAGAAATAGTGTCAGGTGTTTAAGTGCTAATTTTAAATTCTTACTCGCAGAACTTAGAGTTTGGAACTGTTATATTTTTCTTATGTTAAATCCGATTAAAACCGGATTTAACATAAGAAAAATAAACCCAGTCCAAACTCTACGCAAAACTAGCAACGCATGTACAGCATCTTCGACTTCATCTAATGGTGCGTTCTGAAAGGGAATCTTAGCTTTGACGATAGGGCAATAAAATGTTATCGCATCAGCCCATGTATAACAATAGAATGATCGTCTAGGTAAATGCATAGCAGTAAGATACATGTGTTAAATCAGATGCTTAATTGAAACATACTGATACTAAAGTGAATACTTATGACTTAGGATTTTATTAATAATATGTTTTGGTTAATAGTTGCATTATAATTACAGGGGCAATAATGAAAAAAGTGTACAACTAATCACTTATACAACTTTAGTCATTGAGTAGTTTGTTCAAAGATTTTACATTAGTTGTTATACTTTGAACTTATTTATAAGTTTTTTATTTAAGGGTAGAGTACAATGTTAATCATTTCTATATATAATTAGTTGTAAATTTTTATCAGTTTTTTTTATATTTAATTTTTTGAAAAAATATATTAAGTAAATAAATTTTAATCCTTATATAAAAGTTGTAGAGTAGGTTTTTCTGATTTTAAAAATAGTTAAATTATTAAAATTGGGTAAAAACTTATTGAGATATGAGTTTTTAAACATTAGTTTATAAAATTATATAATAAAATTAACTTATAGATTTATGTAAATTAATCAATCAAATTATTTAATTTTGTATTATCTAGGCAAATTTTAATTAACCTAAGCAAACTTTATTATACAGAGGGGTATCATATTATTGTGAACACTTTTTAAATATTTATAATAAGTTAACTAAAAAAGATATTAAGCTAAAAAATAATATATTATATTTATTAAATCTAAGGCTTTTAAATAAAAAAAAATTTACAAAATTTTATGCAGTAGTTTTTGAGATAATTTAAATTAAAAAAAAATTAAAAATATTATAAGAGATATTTTACTAATTTTTAGACTATATTTATATTTAATAATAAATTTAAATTTAAATTTTTAAAAATCTAATAATTCTATTAAAATAATTTTAATATTATTAAATCTATAAAACAATACAATTCTAATGATACCAAAATCATTAAAATCTAATCATTAGTTTTTAAGATATTTAATTTAATTTATATACTAAATATTTTTTATAAATTTAAACTTATTTTTTGTTTTGAATATCTCTGTAGTCTCAACAACTAGAGGTGCAGGTAGTGCTCTTTATTAAGAATATTATATATAACTTAGTTACTTTTTAAATATTTACATATTAGTTTAAAAGATTTAGATCTAGAACTAAAAAGGTTGTTTTTTAGAATTCATATTTTTTTTGAGATACGATTTCTAATAAGAGAGTTTAGGAAGTTAAAAGGTGTATCTGAATCTCTTCATTTTACTGAAATGTATTGACACCATATCTTGTAGATTGTAGTAATATGTAACTAGGTCAAAGCTATTAAAGCATAAGGACAAGTATCATTGAAGACTTGAAATATATCATCTAGTAAAGATGGTATAGGTATTTCTTCATTAACATTAAGAAAACTGTATGCTTTTTTCTAGATTATTATGCTTCGAAGGCATTCCAAAGTGAAGTATTCTATAGTTTGTACTTCATTTGAGCACCAAGTATAGTTTTTTGTTTCTAATGATCCAATATGTCTTAAATAATATCCTAGTGGAAGTGTTCTGTAAAAAAGACACCAAAAAACATCCTTTTTCTTATTACAAACAGACTTCAAAGAGAGCCAAGTATGCTATAGCACCTGTAAAGGAGTTTGTGATAAAGTTGATGAAAAAGAAGATTCTTTTACAAGTTCTAGAATTTTCTTGATTGAGAGTTATCCTATTTAATTTCTTCAATTCTGATTTCATTACTGTTCCAGGGCTAGTTAAAAATATATAGAACTTTGGCTTTTATTCTTGTTCAGGCCTTTAAGTAAAGTTTCCATTCTGAAGGCCAGGCTTTTGTACTTGTGTTGCCAGAATTTAGTGTCTGAGTAGGAGAAATGTTTCTTTTATTCTTAAGTATTAACTGTATCTTATTTCTTTCATATGTTGCTTACATAGAGTTGGATATAAGAAATTTCATCTAAACTGTTATTAAGCAAACATCTAGCATGTTTTTGATAACTGGTGCTTGAAGACCTACTAGCTCTGTCGATTGCTAAAAGATGAAGTATCTGGAAAGCATCTGTGATATGCCTTTAATCCAAAGAGTTATAATTCTGTTTATGTCTGCTACTTGCTTTCTGTTTGAGGAAAGCAAATAGGCTGAGTACCAAACTTTGAATAAAATAAGTGATCTTGTAATTAAGATTTTCTCTTTAAAAAAGAGGTTTTAGTTTAGAAGCTTGTCAAGAGTTTTTTTAGCTTATTGATAGTAGTGGCCCAAAGATCTTTTTTTGGTTGGCTGTTAGTAAGAATGTTGTAATCCAAAATAGTAATATTTTCTTATTCTTCTAATTTGATGAATTGGTTTTCATTAGTAAACTCTATTCGTTGAGCTATAGCTATGAGAGGAACTAATTTGGTTTTAGTTCTATTGATTTTTGTATTTAAAGCTGCCTCATATAGGCTTAGTGCTGTCATAGTTTTGTTCCAATCTGAAGGTGATCCATTCCTATTATTAAATCATCTGCATAAGCAGAAGTTCTAAAAAACTAATTTCCTAGTTTTATATCTTGTAATTGACTTTCTAAATTTCTTATAAGAGGCTTAAAGGCTAGTATATAAAGCAGTGAAGAAAGAGGGTCTCCTTGTCTAACTCTTCTTTTTACTCTGAGTGATTTAAAGATAGCTCTAGCATCTATGATGTGAGCCTCTTGGTTAGAGAAAAGATTATATACTAGGCTTATAAACTTGTGATCAAAGTTCATATTCTTCAAAGTAAGTTCTAAAAAATCATAACTAATACGATCAAATGCTTTTTGTTAGTCAATAAGAAGTAACCAGTGTTGTTTAAAGAGATCTAATTGGTTTCTTAAAGTAATGATAATATCGAAAGCTGTGTCAGTAATAGATCTGTTTTTGATAAATCCATGTTGTTAATAAGATACTAGTTTCTTACATATAAGGTTAAGATGATTGACCAAAATCTTCATAAAAATTTTGGCATTACTATTTACTAGTGATATTGGTTTCCAGTTGTTTACATCTTCGAGATTTTCTGCTTTTTTAGGTATTAGTGAGATTAGACTTTTACATTATAAGGTTGGCATAACTTCTAAACTGAGAACATAATTAAAAACTTCATAAAGAACTGGTATTATTGTTTCTTTAATAAGTTTGTAAAACTCATATGTTAGTCCATCTATGCCAGGAGCTTTATTGTTTAGAAGATTTCTAATAGTATTGCTGATTTCTTCTTGTGTAATTTCTTGTATAAGAGTCAAGTTATGTGTAGGAGAGACTTGTAACAAGTTTTCAGTAATTTTTTCTGTTGAGTTAATATCTATATACTTTTTTTTATAGATTTCTGCATATTTTTCTCTTATATAGCAAAGTATATTTTCTTTTGTTTGTTGCGAAGCTTTAGGATCTTTAATGTCTTTTAATGCTAAGCATGTATCTTGTAAATTTTTCTTCTTGTTTAATCTATTGAGCTTTAAAGCAAATTTGCTATTTTTCAGCAAACTGAGAAAGCTCTTCTTGAAGGTCTGAGTTTAGCATATCAATTTGTAAATGTAAGAAGTTGTTTTTAGGATTATATACTAATCTTTCTTTTAGTTAAGTAATGTTTTTGTTTAGTTTTGTAATTTTGTTTTCTACTGCTCTTGGTTTTCTAAAGGCTCTAATGATAGATTGTATATGCACTTTGTAAAAGTCCTAATCTTCTACATTTTCTAAATTCAAGATTTTTTCTAGTATCTCTTTTTTTAGTCTTTCATTTTTAAAGCAGTTTTTATCAAACCTCCAGAGAGCAGATTCTTTTTCTTTAAGATTGAAGTTAAAAGTGCACTTGACCAACAGTTGGTTCGAGTTTTCAAATTTTGTGTTAACTTCTAAAATTAAATGAGCATTGTTTTCATCAACAAAAATGTAATCTAAATGTGTAGCCATAATACGATTGGCTTGAGTTTTTTGGAAGAAGGTATAGAATGGTTTTATTTTTGCAAAGTTAGAAGAATCTAAAAAATTTTTTGTAAAATCTTGAAGTTGTGCTTTTGTGTTATCATATTGTGGAGCTGCCTCACTAATCCTATCTCTTTCTGAGTAAAGATTAGTATTGAAGTCATCTCTGATAATGTTAATAGCAATTTTTTTAATTTGAGAAGACCACTTTTTGAAAAAAAGCTTTTTGTCTTCTGGGCTAAGTGGAGCATATATGTTGAAAACTTGAAATATAAGATCTTTGTATTTGAAATTAGTATTGATTATTCTGTTATTTAGATCCAATTCTATGTTTTTAAAGATTATATTTTTGTTGCCTGCAAGTATAGCTGTTTTGTTTATTTAGATAGAGTCAAACATCCATTAATTTTTGAGAAAGTTTTGTATGTTTTTGTCATTTAGATTTGTTTTTTGTAGCATAATTAGGTCTAATTTATATAATTTTAGAAGAGTTAAAGTGTTCTGTTGTTTTTGTTGATTATTTAACTCTTTTACATTAAGGGTTGCTATTTTGAATCTGATGTGATTGGTCATGAAAAAATTAAGTAGTGGTACAGATTTAGATCTGAAAGTTCTGTATTTCAATATTGTGATTTGTATATAAAGTCTTTCAGATTGGCTCAGCCTTTTGTTTTATAGACATTTTCTTATCTTTTTTTCTTTTATATGAGACAACTGTAAATTCCTTCTTAGCATTGTCATAATGAGATTGCAAATTGATATTATTTGCAATTAAAACTAAGAGAGAGTTCAAAGCTTGAGGTTTTTCTGTTTCTGTAATCATAATACTGGAAATATTGTCAATAGAAAGGTTTTCTTTATTGATATTACTAAAAGTTTCATTATAAGACACTTCCAGATCTTCTTTCATTATTGCTGGATTTTTTATAATCTCATTTTTTACTCTATTAGGATGAGTTGTTTCTTCTAAATTAGCTAAAGAAGTTTCTTCAATTTGGTTCATATTCATGTTTAGGTCTTTTGTAAGAACCTCCTGTTCTTGTGTTTTGAAACTTTCTTTTTCTTTTTCAGAAGAAGCAGTTCTGCTTTTTTTCTTATTTGCATTAAACTTCTTGTATTGTAGCCAGAGT